TAAATGTCTTTTGCTTAAAAATAGCACTGCTTTTTTTTTCCTTAAATCTGTGTGTGTGTGTGTGTGTGTGTGTGTGTGTGTGTGTGTGTGTGTGTGTACTGTCAAACAGGATCTAATTGGTACAGGAGGAAATTGTTCCTCTAGCAAAGGATGTGGTGGATTTGAACCATGCAGCTCTGGGATTGCAGTACAGCTTCTTGCCACTAGAGCTCGCCAACACTGCTTAATTTTTTTAACTGGTTAATGGAAAATCAGCCATGTGTATACACCCTAACTGCACTTTCATTTGAATATAAAATGGGGCTAGGTTCATAAGCAAATGAAAGAATTCAAAAAAAACAAAAATCTTACTCTAAATGATACCAACACCTTGGTATAAGAAACCAGAAGAATAATTGGGAAAATCATTCTGGAAAAGGATGGCAGGCATCTCCAAAGTATGATCTGGAAATTATTTGGAAAAGGATAGCAGCAACGGTTGCACCCTCTGGACAATACCTCTCCTCAGACAGTCACAAAACGATGAGAGTCTGCCTGATAGCAACTGGTTCTGGTTTGTTGTTTAATGGTTGCATAATATGCTGAACATAATGTCACTGAAGTATATCTGGAAAAGTTACTGGATTTGACAATGTTTTTTTATACATACACACACAAACACTGAATAATGAAACCAGGTGATACAATGCTTCCCATGTAGTATTCAAACTTAAATTCATTGTTATAGAGATGAAACCAACTCATTGGTCACCATTCAAAGGTTTCTACAAATGTGGGGCTAGACTGCTCAGCTTTCTCGTGAGGCGCTGCGATGGACTTGAACCACCTGAGGTGCCATCTTTGTAAAAAAAGTGCAATTCCCTACTGACTACTCCCCTAAAGTTCCCATCCTGTGTAATAAATACTCTAAAACCTTTGTGGAATGAATGAATAGCATTCTATAATACTAGAATTAAGATAAAATGGATCTTTAAAAGAGCTAAATAAACAAACAAAAACTACTCTGCCCCTAAATGACACAGAATAGCTGTTAGCAAAATTAGTTGTCACTAAGAAACTGTGAGCAGCAGATACAGACTAAGATCTTAAAAGTCTAAGGGTGAAAGCAAGGTACTCGATCTTCCCTTCAAACAATTTCTTTATCACTATACAAAGGAGACATCAGCTATTTGACCTACCATCAGAATGTCTAACCTAAAATTTGTTATAAGGAAGGGAAAAAAAAGACCAAGGAAACTCAATGCTATTATCAACATAGAAACACTGCTTTTAAAACTATAAATAATGTATCTCAATTTCATTTGTCACTGAGGCATAGTGAAGCAGTATAAGCCAGAGGCAGCAGTAAATGAGGGTCATTATTCTTTGCTAGACATAAAATAAATTTTAACATTAAACTGTTTCCATAAATCCTCTATTTGAAACTGATTTGAGATCATGATTACATTACATTTTAAACAGAAAACAGCATGACTAATCTAGCATGCGCCTGAATAAATGCACTTCCAGAAATTTTTCTAGTTAAAATAAACCATCTTACTATTGCACTGACACATATTTCTTATATGCACATATGCACATGAGTGTACACACATACATATGTTCTAGAAAGTCAAAATTCTTACCTGAAAAAGGGGCCTCTGAGGATCTGGAAAGGTCATTACACTGGCTGGCTGGTTAATAAACTCCTGCTTCTGACCACCAATATATGGCCTAAAGTTTTCAGAAAGATGATATAATTCAGGTTGCTCATATTTACTTGGAGGACTGTAACCACTGCCACCTTCATCTCCAACTTCTTCAGGATGGAATCTAGGATGTAGGTCTTCATTTTTACTTCGCTTCTCTTCCCAACCATTGCCACATTTCTCTCCAACACATAATTCCCGCATCTCACTATAATCCTAGTAGATAGAAAGAGTAAAATGAAAGCACTGAGGTCTATTCCCACTCCCATCAAAGTCATTGTCAGCCTCAATACTTACACTTTGAACTTTAGGCAGCACTTGATGCTCACTCCAGTTTAGCTCTGGTCCCCGAGAATGATGCATTCTTGAGAAAAACCAACATGTTACATTTAGAGCTTATTATTAGTTTGGATAGGCATAGCACCAAGAACCCCAAAACAAAAGATTTTCATATAGTTTACCCCTCAACCTTCATCTCCGATTTTAATAGCTGGTCCACAATTTTCCAATTTTGCACATGGTTGTTGTTGTTATGTGCCCTCAAGTCGCTTGGGACTCATAGCGACCTTATGTACAACAGCCCTAAACTCTGCTCTGTCCTGTGCAAATCGCACTGCCTCTGACACACCCAGCCCGATTACTCTAGTCACTGAATCAATCCACCTCATAGAGGGCCTTCTTCTCCTGTGCTGTCCTTCCAGCCTCCCAAGCATGATGTCCTTCTCCAAGGACTGGTCTCTCATTACAACATGTCCAAAGTATATTAGATGAAGCCTCAGAATCCTTGGCTTCAAGGAGCAGTCCAGTTTAACCCTCTCCAGGGTGAATCTGTTTGTTTTCTTGGCAGTCCATGGTACCCTCAATACTCTTCTCCAGCACCACAGCTCAAAGGCATCAATTCTCCTCTACCCTCCCTAGTCATTGTTCAACTTTCTGATGCATAACAAGTGACTGCAAAAACCATGGCCTGTATCAGACACACCCTAGTTTCCAGAGAGACACCACTGCTCTTCAGAACTTTGGAAATTAGCTGCAGAAAATCAAAAGAAAGAAGCTTGTAGAAATGTAGTACGGAAGTGAAGGTGACTGGCAGGTCTTACTCATCGTCTGTGCCATCCTCGCTGCTGTCAGGAGAGTGGAGCTCAGGCGAGGAAAGGTCATCATCCAGCATGTCATGAGGAAGGTCTGTGAGCAGTTGCTGTAGCTGAGACAGGAGAGTCTGCATTAGTATCAAGGGCCTTCAGTACTAGATACCAAACAAAGCTACCTGGGCACAAATGACTTTTTTTAAAAGCTTTAGAAGTAAAAATAAAATTCCCAACATCTCCATTTAATAAATATGTTAAATTCCACATAAATCATGCTCATTACTTCACCTGAGGTGGAGGAGGGCACATAACATGAGGACTTAAATTAGAAGAGAGAGCTCTGGGAGTATAGTCTACAGGGAGCCAACCTAAAGCTGGCCTAAAGCTGTGCCCTTCACTGGTTCGATTCCACCAGTAACTCTGTGAAAGGAAAATGGAAAATCTCCTCATGTATGATTTACAGCCTCAGAAGCCCAATCGAGGGTCCAATGTGAGTCGATTCGCACTCAACAGCAATCAGGAGTTTTAGTATATGAGAAGATCTGACATTTTCCTATAGAAATACGTATGCATATGCCCACTGCTGACAAACTGATTCTGGCTCATAGCAACCCTACATGGAATGGTCCCGCAGGGTTTCCAAAAGACCCATATTGGCAGCGTAGATTACATGATGGGCTGCTAGCCAAAACTTGGCAGCTGAATCCACCCGTCGCTCCCCGGTAGAAAGACTTAAGATTTATAGCCTTGGAAACATGAGAGAAGGCATCCAGGACTCAGAATCACTTCATGGGCAGTAGGAGAGGGTCCCCAAGCCTGGATTTTAATGGAAGTAGACTGCATGTGTCACATCCCTCTCCCAACGAGCAGCTGGTAGGTTCAACTTGAAGATCAGTAGCTGAATGCTCAAGCACAGTACCACCAGAGATCTGAGAAATATGCATGTGGTGGGACACAAGTGAAAGAGAAAAAAGTATTTCTAGAAGCATAGCTAAGTTATAATGATGGGGAAATTAATGTATTATCACAGACCAGGCTCCTGCCTTCCCAGTAATCAGACCTTGGGCACATAACAATCAGGCATCCCCTGGGAATCCCAGCAGCCAGATGCACTTTGCCCAGGGAGTGGGAATAGCAGCAGCAGCAACAGGTGGCCTACACGCCCTGACAAGCTCCAGAAGGTGATATATCCTCAGGGAGTGCCGAAGTAATTGATAGGCATCATCAGTGATGAGAAGATATACATTCTGCTCATCTAAAACACGCGAGTAAAAAGAGAACTAGAAGAATTAGCATTCTCAAAAGTGTCTTCTATAAAACTTGACATAAACCATTCCATTCTGTGCTCCAATTTATTTGTAGAGAAAATTAACAACATCCTGAGCACTCTACCTATATAAATTAGTCTGTATAGCAGAATAAATGTATTCACATTTCAAAAGTAAATGGTGATAAGGAGATTGTTAATTTCAGTATGTGTACAAGTCTTCAAATCCTAATATGATTTGAAATATCATAAGTGTCCTATAACAAAATCAGAGAATTCAAATAGCTTTATTTACTTATTTATATAGAATTACTAAATAGCTAATGGAGGCAGCTTATAATTGTTTCTCTTTGAGAGATTAAGCACTAGTTTGATAAATAAATTGACTGAATCCCTCCTAAATAAATAAATAAATCAGTTCCATAAAATTATGCAATGTGTGAGTTTTAAAGACATGAAAAACACTGTAAAACCTTAGAGGAAAAAAATTGGGTACTTCTTGACTCAAGTTAGGTTTTGAGTTTCTTTTTTACGTTCTCAGTCACTAATTTAAAAGAAAGGTAGTATAGTTATAAAATAGCCAAGTATTAATTTTATAATCACAAAACTTTTCAATATACATATAATGAAACTTAAGAAGCAATCTAAGATAGTGGTGATGGCTACACATCATGTTGAATGTAATTAATGTCACTGAATGATAACACTTAAGATGGCAGAAATTTTATTATATATATTTCACAATGAAATTTAAAATAAATGTATTCTAAGAAAAATCTGAAAAGAATGCCAAATAACATTTGGGCATGAGAGAGGGGATATATTTATAACTTTCATCATATTTTTTTAAAAGATGTTTTCCAATTCACTTGGTTCTCTAACTATGAAATAAAAGATGTTGATTACAATGAAATTATCTAAATCAATTTGACATTAATAACCAAGGGAAATGTATACCAACCAAGAGAATTCCTGTATTATTTGAAACTAATATTGATTTATTGCCCACTTACAAATGCAGAATAATGGAAAATAATTTTCAGATTTAGTCTTACCAGCTAATTAGATATAAAGAATAAGAAAAACAAAAGAAATAATAAAAATAAAGCAGAACATATCTGCATCATTGCTTCAAGGAAACAAATATTCCCTCATATTACACAAAGAAAAACAACAACAAAATCTTCCATACTTACATTAAGTAAGGATGACTGTATGAAAATAATATTTTCCTCCAAACCTTCAGAGAGGTTCAAATACATGGCCTTATAGTCCAAGGGAACCCTCACAGAGACATCTGAACAGTACATTTTTTTCCCCTTCTCAAGCACAGAAAGCTGCACAATAGGTAAGCGGTCACTGGCGCTTTCTTTGTGGCACCACACCCGCAAAACTGGCATCCCAAGGAGGAAAATTTATTTGAGCATAAATTATCAGCTAATAAAAATTCTTATGGATCTGCATGTAAACTTACTAACCAGCAAAATCATGCCTGTAATATTTCAAAAGATATTTTACATATATGCTGTTTTTAAGCAGCTTCATTCACTACAAAAAAGTTCTCCATAAAGTTCTTTGCCATAGTTAAGTTATATGCTTTGGTTTCTGTAACTTTCAGGGCAGAGAAAAGCTAAGATATCTCTGCTAAGCAGGCAGAGAAAAAGACCTAATAAGGATGTTCAGAAATGAAATACCACCCCTAGGTCTTTCATTTCTGAGAGGAGTGTTTTAGGTCTCTGAACCAAATACCATAAAACACACAATTACCCTACTGATTTAAACATGTTATTAAGTAGAAATTTTTTTTTAGAAAATTTTAAGAACTACAAACTCTCCTCAGTAGGTGTGCATTCAACTTCCAAATACAGATTAAAGGACAGAAATAGCAAACTTTATAAAGATCAAGATTTAATAGCATTCATTAATTTTAAATTCATCAGACTGCTTCTTGGTGGCAAGTAATTCTCAACAGGGTATTACTGTACATTAATGAAGGTAAATAATTCAAGAGACCTTCCCTAAAGATAATTTACTACTGTTAAGGCTTCTAATAAAATGCATTCTGAATTATCCTGTAAAGTCTACTCTCTTTCCAACTTCACACCATTTCATTTCTTTCCTTGAAGAGGGGTGGGGGGTGGGAAAGAATATTTTCCTCAAAGAATTTATTTAAAAAAAAATTGCAATAAGCCAGGCAGAACATCCAAAAAGCTCATGTTCAGTAGAGAATATAAACAAGAACCCACAAACCTTTTTAAAGGGCTTTAACCTTTCAACCGAAATTAACCAAACAGACTGTCTTTCAGATTCTGAAAGATACTTCTTTTTGGTGGCACCATAAGTTAAGTGTTGCGCTGCTAACTCAAAGGTCAATAGTTTGAATCTACCAGCCACTCCAAGGAAGAAATTTGGGCAATCTCCCCTTGTTAAGTTTTACAGCCTCAGAACTCTAATGGAGGAGTGCCGTGAGTTGGAACTGACTTAACAGTGTGAGTTATGATTTTTGAGGGATGTCTAAAATAGAGATAACAGGACAAAGGGGCACAGAGTCATAATCTTCTCTCTGAGAGGGCCAGAAACCATGACAATAACACAGCTCCACACTGCCCCAGAGCAGAAAACACATCAAGAGCTCACAGACAAGTCCCATGGTGCCTCTAGAATCACACCAACAGCAAGAGGTTAATTGATTCATTGCTAACTCACAGGCTAACAGTTATGGTACTGAGAATGGGGTTTAATAAGAAGTAAGTTGAAGGGTCAGGAAGGCAAAGAATAACATCAAAGGCCAGGTTTCAGCATAAGTGCCAAGGCACAATTCCTCAATTAGTCCAGGCTCTAGTTTCACTTCAGCAGTCAAATCCAAATCATACAGCAAGGTTTGCCTCAGAGGAGTTATAAGTCAGCTTCTCCTTCAAGCATCTGACAAGAACAACAAAAATCTTTAACTGTGGCCTTTATATCAGAGCTCTTCTGCTTACACCTTGCCACAGTTTCTCCACAGCAATGCTACAGTCTCCCCACCACCATCACCTGGGTGTCACTTTCAACAGGGTCTTGCTCTAGTCTCCCTCAAGTCTTGCTGCTACAAGTCTTACTTGCCTCAAGTCTTGCTACCCAGTGTGGAAAGCACCCTTTCTTTTATCCTAGTCCGACATCTGTTGGTGATTTACAAGACCATGTGTCCACAGTAAAAGTAGCTGGACATCAGAGGGGGCTAACTGTAATGGCTAATAAAAAGGCAACTTTTAGGCTAATGCCACAGGGGGCATACAATTAAGGTTTAATTTTAGAGTTTCAGTTCGAATTGTGACCAAACAACAAATTTTTTATTTTTTTTTAAATCCCAAACCTCCCTCATGTTGATTCTGATTCTTGGTGACCTTAGATCAGATTTCAGAGGCTATAAATATTTATGGGAGGAGACTGCCTCATCTTTTTCCTACAGATTGACTGATGGATTCCAATCACTGACGTTCACTTGGCAGCCTAACATACACTGTTCTATGCCACAAGGGCTCCAATTGTGACGGTACCTGGAAAATGCCTGTGTATTGCAGGAAAAATTTACAGGGCACTATCCAGAGAATCCATAAGAAAATGTTAAAGAAGAGTAAAAAAAAACATATATCACACGAATACGCGGCCATTTATGGGGGATGACAAGAAAATGCCATTAAGTCAAACTGTAAACAAATGCTAGCTTTACAACGCCCTCTAGTGGTCTTGTCAAAATCTGGGTCTTTCCATGGAAGCAGGCGGCTGAGCTTCCCACTAGTTTAGAAGTAGGCAAGTCACTTTGTTTACTACATTCTCACTTTTCCTGAAAACTCAGTGCACTTTCTGCATTTGCTCTTTAGTTTCAACAAAGGATGGGGGGGGACGGGGGGAGGCAAAGTCCTAACTCTAGCACTGCTACTTGAAATGAAGAGAAGGAGGGAATTTGACCATGACTTAATCAGTGATGTATAGTCAAATTTGGACAAAATTCCGACCCCAAGCCACCAAAATTGAACACAACCGGATAAGTCATATTGTATTTGCAGCTGGTCATTCAGATTTAAAGGTTAAAAACAAGATTATCTGATCAAGTCTACATAATGAGTGTCACAAATCCTTAGTAGGGCAAAATACATATGAATCAAAAGTACCATATGCGATAAACCTTTGTTTATCCTTCTTTTAAAGTGACAAATATACAAAGTAATTGGCTAATTAGAAAGAGCAGTAGATGTTAACCTACTGCTAACAGGTGTAGCCCTGCTACAATTCCAAAGCTGCCAAGGAGGCAGGAAAGAAAAAATTAGTCTTTAGCCTCTCAAGGCTCTGCCTTGTTCTGCAATTGTAGCACCATGCAGGATGAACAAACTTCTGGGTGGGTATACAAGCAAGCTTACCTGTAATCAGTTAACTCTTTATTTTCATTTGCAGTGGGAAAAGTATACATATTTTTATGGATAATTCTAAATTTTGTTACTGAAAATTTGAAAGTCGCTGGCTCTGATATCACTTTTCCCATTGTAACTATTTTATTTTAAAGTGAAAAAAAATATTACTAATATGAACATCAGAGTGAAAATAGCTATACATTCTTTTTTTATTCCAATCTGCTAGAAACAAATATTCTTTTTCTTCTTTTTTCTTGGAAGCAAGTATTTTTTTATATTTTTTAATTTATTTTTCATTTCAATGAACATCTACAGAGATTTTGGAATTCCATTCATTCATTGTTGCACCCTTCTCCCCGCCCCCCCATCCCCCCCCCTCGCCTTTTGCTCCTCTCCCTGAAAAGCAAAAGAAAAACTCCCTCATTGGTACACAATCCCCCCTACACCTTCCCCAATCCCACCCCCACCCCCAAGTATAATCCACTCTGCAACCCTCATTGTGTACTCCTATGATAAACATAATGCCCTAAAATATAATACTTTTAAACTATTCTCTCCGCCATAGACTTCAATGCCGTAAAGATATTTCATCCAGTTTTTCTCAGCCTTACCCCCACCCCGATGCCAGCCTCATTCTACAACAGAGGCACCATACAGCATTTGTCCCTTTGTGACTGAGATACTCACTCAGCATAATGTCCTCCAGGGTCACCCATTTTGAATATTGCATGAGTTCCTTGAAACAAATGTTCTTATGTCCCTTAATCTCTTCTTCCCCTTTCAGAGTTTTTTTTCTTCTGGAAATTCTCTATCCTGATACACAATTAAGGAGCTTGGATGGCTTAGTGGTAAGGAATTGTGTTGCCACTCAAAACACTTGGTTTGAATTCACCAGCTACTCCTCTGAAGAAAGATGGGCAATCTCCTCTGTGTGATTTACAACCTCTGAAAACCCCCTAGGGGGTCAGCTATTGAGTGGGTTACAACTTGATGATAAATAACAACAACACACAATCAGTTTGAAAATGCTCAAACATGCACTCAAGATACATGGATAAGTATTAATAATAAAAGAAGTAATAAATGCAACTTAGGAGATTAGAATTTTGCAAAGCCAATGATATATTCATTGCAAATAACCTTTTTTTCAACAACAGAAACAGCAAATATGCATGTGGATATCACCAACTAGGGTAAACAGGAGTCAAATCAACTGTATCTACAGAAAGGAAAGATGAAGTTCCATGCTGTCAGTCAGAACACGGCCACTTAGCAGAACAAATGGCACATCAGCAAGTTCAAGTTGAAGCTGTAGAAAATGAAAACGAGTCCACAAGAACTAATTATAACTTTGAGTATATACCACCTGAATTTAGAAACAATCTCAAGAATAGATTTGACATAGTGAATACTAATGATCAAAGACCACACCAGTTTTGAATGACATCAAATATGAAGAAAGTAAGAAATCCCTAAAAAAGTAAGAAAGAATGAAAAGAAATAGACATGAGAAGAGACTCTGAATGAAAAGTAGCTAAAGCAAAATGATGACATTATTACAGACTTTAACAGAAGATTTCAAAGGGCAGCTGAAGACAAAGCAAAGCACTATAAAGAAATGTGCAAATATCTTGAGTGTGATAACCAAAAAGGAAGAACACATGTGACGTTTCTCAAGCTGAATAAATTGAAGGGGGGGGAGAATCAAACCTCCAGTAGCAAAATTGAAGGATTTTACAGATAAAAAAGAAAAAATACCGAGTGATGCAGGAAGATGTCAGTACTACAGAATCACTGTAACACAAAAGAACTGTTCAACATTCAATCATGTCAGGACAGAGTATGTAAGCAAAAAGCAATGGTACTGGAGGAAGAAGTAAAATCTGCCCAGAAGGAATCAGTGAAAAAACAAGGCGCAGGAATTGATAACAATTGAGATGCTAAAAAGAAATAGATCCAACACTGGATGTGTTTAGTCATGTATGCCAAGAAATTTGGAAGGTAGCTAGCTACCTGATCAACTGACTGGAAGAGATCCACATTCATTCTACAGAAGACTCATCCGGAAGAATGTGGAAATTGTGGAACAGTAACTTTTAACATCACACACAAATAAAATTAGGCTGAAGAAAATTTTAAAATTCTTGTACAAGACATGGAACTGCCAGAAATTCAATCTGGACTCAGAAGAAGCCATTGAAGAAGGCCTATCATTACAATGTCTGAAGGATCTTGACTGAAAGCAGAAAACACCAGAAAAATGCTTACCTGTATTTTCTTGACTATGCAAAGGCATTCAACTATGTGGATCCTAAAAAATTACTAATAACATTTTGAAGGCTGTGTATTCCAGATCACTTAATTGTGCCTATGTAGGTACTACAGGTAGGCAGTAGTTATTCAGACAGAACAAAAGGACATTGCATGATTGGGTTTCAAGTCTTTTTCAGGGTAGTTTACCTCTTTCTCCCTTTCATAGTCTTCTTTGTCATACTCTTCATCTTCATTTTGTGTCTGCAGAGCCACACTGCCAAAGTCTAATGACATGGTCCTCCTGTGGCAAAGGAAAGATGTTTGGTTTTAAGTTTCTCAAGCAACACAAAAAATGCCATCTAACAAAGGGGAACCCAACACAGACTGAGATGAAATATGTTTAAAGTACATATAACAAGTGGCTAGTATTTTAAACACAATATAGTGTTCTCAAAAATTGTGATTCATAGAACATAGCTTCTTATACAGCAACTCATGCAAACACAAATAGTTACTATACCTTCTGATAAGACTCTTTGGTAGTAGCTTACAATATATATCCTAAAACAGTAACAGTTTTGTCCATCCAGAAAAAGGGGTAAATACTAATAAACTAAAAATATGTCAGAACAAAAATATTTAAAAGTGCAAATAAAATTTGAGATGGGGTGTAATGTAACCACATTTTGCCTCAACCTTTGAATATGACATGTTCAAATCTGATGCACTACAAAAAAGCTGGATTAATGACTGCTACCCAAAAACTGTTCAATAATTTCCATACTCAGTCAGATACCTTTCTTTGGAATGGGAACAAATATAGATCTCTTCCAGTCAGTTGGCAAGGTGGTTGTCCTCCAGATTTTTCAGCACAACTTCGTCAGCACATCCAGAGCAGCGTCTGTTGAAATATGTGAATTGGTATACTATCAATGCCTGGGGCCTTGTTTTTTGCCAATTTGTTTAGAGCAGCTTGAATTTCTTCTTTCATCACCACAGGCTCTTGCTCATACATTATTTCATTAAATTCTTCTATGTTTGCCAATTCTTTTTGGTACAATGACTCTGTATACTCTTTCTTTTTTTTTTTTTTTTCTGTATACTCTTTCCATCTTCTTTTAATACTTCCTGGATCATTTAATATTCTTCCCAAAGCATCCTTAAGTATTGTAACTTGAAGCTTGAATTTGTTCGTCAGTTCCTTGTGCTTAAGAAATGCTGAGTGAGTTCAGCCCCTTTGAATTTCTAACTCCAGCTCCATGCACATTTCATTGTAATACTTTACTTTGTCTTCGAGCGCTGCCACTTGAAAGCTTCCATTCAGCTCCCTAATATCTTTATTTCTTCACTCTGCTATGGCTTCTCGGCGCTCTAGTGCTATACTCAGAGTCTCCTCTGACAACCATTTTGGTCTTTTCTTCCTCCTCTGTCTTGTGCATTCTTCCTGGATTATATTCTTTTTTTTTTTCTTCCTGGATTATATTCTTGATATCCTCCCACAGCTCATCTGGTCTCATGAGGTCTTAAACTCATTCAAGGCCTCAAATCTGTTCCTGAGATGGTTTTGAAATTCAGGTGGGATAGATTCAAGGTCATAATGTGGTTAATATCACACATGCAAGCAAGATTCTGCTTAAGATTATCCAAAAACGAATGGCACATCAGCAAACGAATACCACATCAACAGAGAACTGCCAGAAGCGAAGGATGGGTTTAGCAGAGGCCATGGTACTACGGGTATTGTAGCTAATGTTAGAGAGATCTTACTACCAGAGGAATGTCTATCTATGTTTCATTGACAATGCAAAGGCATTTGACTATGTGGACCACAACAAACTGTGGCTAACTCTGAAAAGAATGGGAATCCCAGAACACTTGATCATGATTATGCGAATCTATACTTGTACCAGGAAGCAGTCGTCAAAACAGAGCAAGAAAACACAGCAGGTTCAAAATTGGGAAGAGTGTACACCAGGGATGTGTCCTATCTCCATACCTGTTCAATCTATATGCAAAGCAGATTATACAGGAGGCTGAGCTTTATGGGGAGGAATGTGGCATCAGGATTGGAGGAAGATTCATCAACAATCTGCCTTATGCAGATGACACAACCCTGCTTGCTGAAACTGAGGAGGACCTGAAGCTCTTGCTGCAGAAAGTCAAGGACTGCAGCCTTCAATATGGATTGAACATCAAGAAAACAAAAATTCTCACCACTGGGCTGATTGGTGAAGAGACTGAGATTGTAAACCGCTTTAGTTTGCTTGGTTCTACAATCAACATTCTTGGCACTAGCAGCTAGGAAATTAAAGATGTATTGTACTGGGAAAGGCTGCTGTCAGAGATCTCTCCAGAGTACTGAAGAACAATGATGTCAGTCTGGAGGCTAAGGTGCGTCTGATACAGGCCAGGGTCTTTGTATTCACTTGCTATGCATCAGAGAGCTGGACAATGACTAGGGAGGATGTTTGTTGTTGTTCTGTGCCATCGAGTTGCTTGCGACTCATAGAGACCCTATGTACAAGAGCCCTAAATGCCGTTCTATCCTGTGCCAACCCTGCCATCTCAAACACACTCATTCCCATCACTCCACTCACAATCGATCCATCTCATTGAGGGTCTTCCTCTCCTGCGCCGTCCCTCCACTCTCCCAAACATGATGTCCCTCTCTAAGGACCAGTCTCTCCTTGCAACAAGCCCAAAGTATGTCAGATGAAACTTCAGAATCCTTGACTCCAAGGAGCATTCTGGCTTCACCCTCTCCAGGACAAACCTGTTTGTTCTCCTAGCAGTCCATGGTATATTCAACACTCTTCTCCAGCACCACAGCTCAAAGGCATCAATTTTCTTTCTATCATCCCTAGTCACTTCCAACTCTCCAATGCATAGCATGTAATTGCAAAGACCACAGCCTGGATCAGGTGCACCTTAATCTCCAGCCTGATGCCGTTGCTCTTCAGTACTCTTGAGAGGTCCCTCACTGCTGACTTTCCCAATACAATTCGTCTCCTGATTTCCTGGCTGCTGTTACCAAGAGTGTTGACTGTGGAGAAATAATGCCTTTGGGCTCTGGTGTTGGAAAAAGAGTATTGAATATACCATGGTCTGCTAAGAGAACGAACAATTTCATCCTGGAGGGGGTTAAAACTAGCTGCTCCTTGGAGGCAAGGATTCTGAAGCTTCGTCTGATATACTTTGCAAGGAGGGGCCAGTCATTGGGGAAGGACATGCTTGGGAGGGTGGAGGGACAGTACAGGAGAGGAAGATGCTCACTGATATGGATTGATCCAGTGACTGGGGTAATGGGGGTAGGTGTGTCAGAGACAGTGAGGTTGGCACAGGGTAGAGCAGGGTTTAAGGCTGTAGTACATAGGGTTGCCTTGAGGCATAGGTGACTCGAGGGCAAATAACAACAACCCAGAAATTATTATTTACAATTACTATATAAAATTACTTACAATCTGGTAAAAGCTATACAGCACACAATAAAAACAAATATGTTAATGTTCCTGCAGTTAAGCATGCTAAAATCAGGCTAAAACCAAACAAACCAGAATTGAAGACTCTGAAGCTGTACCATTGTGCAGGTCCTCTTCCAAAAACAACAGGAAGATCTCCCTGGGGAACAGTAATTGCCTTGACAAAAGCAACAGCAAGAGATGGGCTTTCAAAAAAAATTATACTAGGACACCAGGTGTGGTAAACGCCCCCAAAATGCAAAGCTCTGAACAATTCTAGCAAAAGGTAGGCTGGCCTAATGATACCCTCCTTTCATTCCACCATCTGGATGCCACAGAAAGGCATTCTGATGCAAATATAAGCTACAATTATTTCACTATACCTTTCAGGTAATAAAATGTCATAAAGTGAAAGTGGAAAAAAGCAGCAGAAACCTTGAAATCTCAGTGCCTTTTATCATGAAGAGGATTAAAATGTATTAGCAGTTGAGAATCAGGCTCACAAAGTTTTCTATAAGCAATGTAAGAAGATGAGAGTCTATTTCAGCAGAGGTCCCCTTTATTGGCTGTATAATGCAAGTTTGGTTTTGCCACTAAGAAAATAATGTTGCCAAGGTCATTACAGCACACCAACAAACTTAAAATGTAGCTTGATTTTATAAATGCTAAAGTATGAAAACAAAATATGTGCTTGAGAACAGATGAAAGACAGTATTACAGATTAACATGAGAACAGATCCATTGCTGAAAACTGATTCCTATAGACAGGGTTTGGGGGATTACTTTTCCCCAAGGATTGCATTCTGTTTCTTGGTCAAGCTTTAATTTGGAGTATACCTTTCCATCCTTTATTCTCTGGTCACTGCACTCATCCAGGCCCTTCCCTTCAACTCCCATTAACTCAAATTACTCTTATCAATATAAATTATTTATAATTTTTCCAGGAACAAAGGGACAAAAGGCAGGTGTACTCCTTCACTGAGCAGCAAAATATATAAATCTAGGGGCTCAATCTAGAGATGGTGAGAACAGCACAGGATAAGGCAGGGTTCAGACTAGTTCATAGGGTTGCTATGAGTCAACTTGATGGCATATAACAACAATAACAGGGGCTCTAAATTTTTGTTATCATGTATAAAATGAACCATAAAATGAAGACCCAAAAATAAAGAAGAATCTAAAAAATAGCTGAAATGTGCCATACACACATATATCATGAGGATGAGAAAACAAACACTGCTCCATGACTTGAAGGTTTTCTTCACAAAAAAAGTAGGTATCAATTCTATGGAATGAAGAATAAAAAAAAAAAAAAAATGCTAGTCCACTGAAATCCTATCTCATTATACAGATGAGGTAAAGCTAAGTCTTGGAAGATATTCCAGGATCATATAGGCAGGAATAATCATTCCTGTTTCTGAATTCTTAGATTATTCTCTACATCTTCTTGTACTCAATTATAAACACAAGACAGAATATGGTATTTGAATTTAATTTAATCTCTATAGGTAAATTATAGGTGTCCTGGTAGTCCAATGATTAAGTGTTTGACTATGAACAGAAAAAAAAAATTCAGTGATTTAAACCTACTAGTTGCTGGATTAGTGAAAAAAATCTAATCCCACCAAGATTACAAGCAGGACAGTTCTTACCCTGCAAGTCAGAGTCAACTAGACAGTAATTGGTTTGAAGGTGAAAAATAAAATAATGTTAAATATAAGCATATGCTCAACTACTGGGTTGGCACCCATCCAAAGCTGCCTTGGAAGACACGCCTGGTGATACGCTATCAAAAGGTCAAAGCCTTGAAAACCCCAGGGGCAGTTCTACTCTGCTCAC